CATCGTCACCGCTGCCACCGCCCAGATTTGCGCAAGCTGAACTGTGGAACTACGGCAGTCGCCGGGCGTCCGAGTCGCCGTGAGGAACTCGGTATCGATCCGGAACTCCGATATTGGGATGTCCCAGAAAACCAGTAGCAGCCTGTTCGGCCTCCAGTCGTACCGGATCGTTATAATTCAAAAAAAGTCAATCCCAAAAGTCAAAGTCAAAAAAGAAGTCAAATCAGAAAGTTTCAGAAAGTCAAAAAAAGTCAATTTGCCCAGATCCGATTTTTTTGTGACTGTTTTTCGATGTTGTGTTTTGTTACTTTTTCCGACTTTTTTTTTGTGAACTGTATTTATGTATTTGACTTTTTTATTTGACTTGTTCGAGTGTTTGACATTTTTTAGTTTTTCTTATATAAAATATAAAAACTTTTTTGAGTTGTTTTTTGATTTTGACTTTTTAAATGTTTTGGACATGTTTTTTTCGACTTGTTTTTGTGTGTTTTTTTTGGACTTTTTTGTTTACTTTTTCGAGCTGTGGTCTATGGTTGACTTTTTGTTGACTTGTTTTCGCCTTTTTTGTTTACTTTTTACTTTTCAATTAAACTTGTTTTTTGACTTTGACTCTTGCATTTGACTTTCTTTGATCAAGGATTCTGGCCTTACCATATGAAAGAATTTTATAACCGAACCTGAGGAGGTACTTGGAGGTGTGGGGTTGATAAAATTATAGCTATTTTTTCAGAAAGGTCCTTACCAACTAACCATATCATCATCCACTGTTACTGGTAATGGGATATACTCAAGATATCTCAAGATATATACATAAACAGTATAGTAAAATATAGCACAATTTCATTATATCCAGAAGTCAAGTTCGACCTCCGAAGTAAAGGAAATTAATTCCTTGAGTGGGATTCCCTAAAGACAACTTTGAGAGGGGTCATGGACTCACAGGCTAGTTCGAACCTATTTGACCCCTGTTTTGCTAGGAAGTTTGACAACCTTTTGGGTGGTAGGTGGGAAAAGTTGGAGGTCATTCCGGTTCTATGTATGAAAGTAAGTAGACATATGATACAGTCCCTTCCATGTGGATTGCAAAACCTTTTCATATGGGGGACTGAAATATCATCAAGATTTTACATGAATTGCTGTACATGATATCTACACCGAACTGGGCCGGTTGTGAGGATCTCAGATTGATCTTGGTAGTTCGGTGTAGTTCATTGTACATGATGGTGAACACTGATTGTAGTTCCGGTGTAGTACCGGTGTAGTTCGGTGTAGATATACACCCTGCAAGTCAACGACTATACAAAGAATGGTCTTTATGGGATCGGAAAGGGAATGTCCTTTACTACTCAGGGAAAGTATAGTCTTTGGACTTCTAGGGTATATCTATTCTTTTTTGGTGAGAAGAACTACACCGAACTACGCCTCCCTTGCCCTGGGCTTGCCTCGTTGGGTTCGCACACTCATCGACAAACAACACAAAAAAGAACAAGTCGACAAACAACGAAAAAAACAAACAACTCGACAAGCAACTCAACAAACACCCAAGAACCGCATCAAAGCTTTGTCCATGTTGGCCGAAAAGGCTTCTTCCGTTTTCCCAAAGTCCCAAGGTAGGTGGAATCGTCCTTCAGACATTGAGCTTTTTCCAGTGAGTTGAGGGATGGAGGCCCCAGGCCGGCCCAAACATGTGGTAAGGACGCCATAAGGATGTCAGAAATGTATAAAGTTAAGGCAGTTCATCCTCTTTTGGTCTTGCAGAGGTAGAAGATCACTTGTCCCCACACGTCCGGTGGTGCAAGTTTCGCCGAAACGGTGTGGTCAATGGATTGGAATCCCTTCACCTGCGGGAAAAAGGAAGAACTACTACTCAAAAACGACCCGGTCGGCCTCGAATCCTCGGGTTCAGAGGGTCTGGGGTCGAAGCAATGCCGTTTGGTTCGTGACCAGTTGGGCGTCGTGAACGCGGAGCGTTTGGGTACAGACTGACTCATGGGCCGGTCAAGCACGAATGTGGTATGTGCTTCGAATGGGCTCGTTTGTGGCCGCATGTATGGAATAGTTACTTACATTGACCCCATGTTGGACCCCAATGTAGGTAACTGTTCCACGATGTTCCACAGATTGTCATTGATAGTTTGGGTGATGACACCCAAACAGTTCTTCGCCTTCAAATCCACGCAGTGTTTGAGAACACAAAGCTCTTGCAAGACTATTGCGGCCTACGTAGACAGGTGAAACGGTGGCTCTTCAGGAACCAAGACACACTTTTGGGTTTGCCATGTTGTTTGTCAAACTCAAGTCGAGTGCAACACAGAAGTCTTTAACGTCACCATCCATGTAGGAGGACTACTATCTGAGCAATTCTGTTCCGACTTTAATGGATTGACATCAGGGGATCCAACATGCTCCAACGCCAAGTGGAGGGTTTGTCAGTGGTGTTTTCACCCTGTTTCACATGATCCCTCTTCGATCTACTTGAGACTTGAGCTTGACGACTAGCATGGATGGTGATGTTAAGGGCTTCTGTGTTGCACTCGCTTGGGGACCCTCGACCCAAACACTTGGGTCTCGACCGATTTGCTGTAGATTCTCCCACTGCCGTCCATGCCGTCCACTTCACTTCCACACCCGCCCAGACTCCCTCGACCTGGCGCGTCCTTTCGCCCAGGTCTTAGTCCTTCAATGGCGAGTCTGGCTGAGAGAAGTTAGTTTTCTTCGAGCGATGTGATTCTGAAGGGTCAAATCAAACATGTACCATGTACGGTACGATGGAATTCCTGCGGAGAAAACCATGGCGAAGCAGTCGGGGTTTTATGCAAAAACAAGTATTTGGTACCACCAAGGCATCTACGGTTGGTAGCTCGAGCCTGGAAAAAGAACTTTCACACTTTCCCCTTGACCTTCAGGGTGGTGATTTCAGATGTATTGATGTTCGACCTTTACTTGGGATGATTGAACCTAGTGACTCTTTATATGTGTTGTTTTGTCTTCCTTTTCAACCACCAAACAGACTACATCTTAGGCTTAGACCCAAACACGGAGTATCTTTGATCAACATTCTTCCTCTCGAGGTACTTCTCGAAACCTGGGTGAATCCTTCGAATTCAGCGGATTCTCGAAACCTGGCTGCCTCCGATTTGGGGGGTAAACATGGTTGGGAGACATTCATTCAGTGTCCCCAGAAAAAAAAGAAGACATCGTTAAAAAAAGATACAGCTGGATCACCAGTCACATCATATCACCTTGAATTCTTGAGCTAAGGCTAAGTTCCCTCCACTTCCTTGGGCACTTCCAGTAGATCGGGGCCTTCACTTCTGCATGTAGCAGCGACCCGCGACCCCACGCGATGTGGACCGGGCCGTTCGATTGCCGGGGTGTCTTTTTCTGTTCCAACAGAGGACCAACTCCGGGAACCCAACAGTTGGGGTGTACACAGCCGGTGGTGTTTGGACATTCTGGGTTCTGGACATGAATGATGAACATTGGAATGTCTGGTGAATGAGAAGGAAGGATGAACCGGTGCCATGTCTTGTTCCATGTCATCAGCCACCCCAACATGGCAGGCCACCCTGGAAGAGGGACCTCGTCGCCTTCGAACCCACGCACGTTCACCGCCCTCTCCCCCCCCGTCCGGTGAGGGGACAGTATCAACAAAGCGCGAGTACACCGAGAGGAGTGGAACATCAAAAGCTTTAAGAGGTTGAGTAGCATCCAACCCCAACAATTGAGTGGCGTAGAGCAATCCTTATTTGATTCATGTTTCTTTCTGTTGATAGGAGGTTTTTCTCTCAAGATTGAAGACCATGATTGAGTACTCCAATGTCTTTTTGGCTCCTAGTCCGTGCATTATGTCTGATCTATATGATTTCATATGATTTAATGGTTGCTCCTCAAAAATGACCCGTTTCAGTGGCATCACCGAAGTTGACTCCGTAGTTGCTTCGCGCAGAGGAAAAGGGGTGTGGCCTTTCCTTCGCGGCGATGGGTGGGGGGATATAGTGGTTGCCCAGTTCAGCGAGATCCACATAAGACGAATCCCACACCATCCACCTGGAACCCCAAACAACCAGAAACACATGGTTGTTCCAATATGGCAATTGAAATCCTTTACATAGGAAATGGTTGTTTGGGGAAACATCAATTTCTTTCTGGTTGTTTGGGGTTCCGGGCATGTGTGAAATAGTTATACATATATGTACCCCATTTATGACCCATCCAAAAGATGATTCTGATGGGTCCATATCTCTGTCCCTGGCCATGTTTCATGGTTACGTGGATGGCATGGACCCCGATGTTCGGCTCGATTTTCGGATGATCATGACATCCTATAATTATATATACAGACTGGTGGTGTTCTACTTCCATGATGGATTCCAGGGAGTGTCATTGTCCGTTGGGGCTGCGGAGGTGCTTGTTCTTCTCGGCTTGGAAAGGCCGAAAGAACGGCCATGTGAGACCGACTCGAGACATGTTTTTAGATGATTTTGTACTTCCCCCAGACGCGACCCGTTCGGCCCCGAATCCTGACGGAGATGGAGGAGTTTGAGATGATTTGAGGTCGAAGCGATGTCGAATAACGTTTGGTTCGGGACCAGTTGGGCTGTTTTCACCGAGCGTTTGGCTACAGACTGACTCGACATGGGAAGTGCATGGCATGGGCCCCTGGACGATCCAAAAATGCTCATACCGAACAGGTGGTGAACTGCACGTGCATGGAACCTGAGTGGGAGTGTACCTACGTGACCGAGTGCCGGTCGCATGGTCGCTGGTCGCGAATCCATCTGGTGGGTGGATTCGCCGCCGCGGAGACGTAGATGTTTGATGAGCATTCTTTGCAATGTTGCTCAAAAAGAAGTCGTTTAGATCCGTGACTCATTAATACATCATAGACAGTGACATAGTGACATACCACCACCCGTGTTAAGTCGGGTATTTCGGTCTGTCCCCAAAACCAACGACGGCGAGCGAGCTTGCCCAGCATCACCCTCGAACCTCGCCAGGTGGACAAAGCACCTGGTCCACCGGGCGGCCGGAGAAGCCACGCCCGGAGGACCGCGGTCGCCGTGGTCGCCGTGGTCCACGTGGTCCGGTATGGATGGCACCCGTGGTTTCTACAGTGAACGTGACCCCAAGTGTCTGGTGGTGTGTAGGGACCTTGCATGTGGGTGGGAGTCCTTTGGACATCTTGGGAGTGATGGGAGTGTGATCGAATAACTCTGAAACCCGTGGTAAAACCGAAGCAAATGACAGGCATGAAGCATGAAGCATGTGAGTACTGCCTTTGGAGAGGTCGGGCCCCGCAGAGTCGGGGCAACACATGAAGTCGGAACCGGTGAACAGCAGGGACCGGGTTGTGAACGCGGACAGACATGGAGGACATCGGGTCTCTCACAGGTCATCGGGTCTCTCCGGACGTCAGAGTGAGTCCCACCCAAAAGGCTCGTCCTTTGGGTCCAAAGGCCCTGCTTGGTGGGTGCAAGGTCCGGACCCACCCCAGACGCGACCCGTTCGGCCCGGAATCCTTTGGGGTCTGGGGTTTCGAAACCAATCCTGAATACGTTTGGTTCGGGACCAGTTGGGCGTCGTGAACGCGGAGCGTCTAGAAAACAACCATGGTTGTGTTCATTACGGAACGAGGCTTCTTTTGCTACAAAGCCAGGTCAACCATGTTCAATCAATCATCTTGGAACGCAGCCCGAAAAAAGGGCACCGAAGGTTTCGATTGGTTGGAGGGTGTCCGGTGTGAGTGCCAGATCTCAAAAGCGCCATCACCGGCTTTTTCCGTTGCGATGTGTTTCATCTTACGAGAGGCTAAGATGCTACGTAGCGTGTGATACATAGTGGAAGGTTGGTGTCGAAGAAATTTGATTGCCTTGATTTATCTTTGAGCTGTCCCGATGTGTCCATGAAGCACACCCGCGAGCGTGGGTAACCGTAGTTCGTGGCTACTCACCAATCCCCTATAGGTCCTGGCAGAAAGCAGAGTCCATGTTAACATGGCTTTGATCTAGTCAGGGCACACTTCGAACTGAATTGGTGGAGTGTCTTAGCGGATCGCCTCCGGCGAAAAATGATGGTTCCCCTTCGCCGGCATTCTGATCAGGGGAGCTATCTCCCATGGATGCCCAGAAAGTGGATTGTGATAAGACCCGCACAGCATCCAGGCACCTCCCACCATGTCGCTGGGACGTCCCAGTGGTTCCAGTTCTTCGACGACCAAACCATAGACCGACGGACCACCAACCCTGGTTCCTCATATTAGTGGTAACTGGGATCCACTGGGACCAGTACATACAGTCAGTAAACAATGATCACTATTCTTGAACAAGGCCCCCAACCTAACCATCAATATCCACTGGTACTGGATATATACAGTAGACCCTATGGATGTGATAATACCAATACCATCCCAATACCACCCATTTGGGATAGTTGAATGGAGAACGGCATGGCCGGGGCAGATGATGCTGGATCTCCACCGAACACCCAAAAACCTCGCACTGCGCGTCCCTCGCACCGCCCGTCAGGAGCCCGCGCCGGTGGATCTGCCAGAGGACCACATCTCTGTGAGGCGCCAGAAACGGCGTTGCCGACGGCGGGCGGAAGGGTCTCTCGCGGTCTCGCGATGCGGGACGAAGGTGGGCGTTCGTGGTATCGAAGATGGGCACGTTGTTTCTAAGAGACATCGACTGGGGCGCAGAGCCATCGATTCTCTGAAACGACGGCTTTTTTTCGTTGTTTCTTCGAAACGGTGGCGGAATTGAGGTGTTGAAGACCCTGTTCCGAACGTTGAAGGGAGAGGGAGGGGTGACTGGATGCCGAACGTTGAAGCAGCTCAAGCGTTGGTTTATCATGGCTAAGCCCTTCTCGGGGTGACCTAAAAAAGGTCCTCCCAAAAGGCACCGTTTTAAAGACCATTATGGGCTCTAGGTTCTTCTCGTTGGGCGGTCTGCGAACCAAATGTGTTTGAGGCAAACAAACAACTTTTGGGATCCTTGCATGTTGGTTGGATTTTGTCCAGGGAAAGCAGTTCCTGGACGGCGGTTTGTTCAATAAAGGCTAGGCAGGCGAAGAATCTGTTCTGCCCCCACAACATCTAAGTTGATGAGAAGACAAGATTGCGTCCATATCAATTCTACCTGTTTTCTGGAGATAGTTGATATTTCTTTATACAGCTATCCTTGTGGGTTCAGAACCGCTCCCTTTGGCTCACGTGGGCGGACCAAGACCCAGGTCGAGAAACCCTCCTGGATTCTGACATACCCAGACGCGACCCTGGACCCGAACCTATGGAGACCCCGGTCAGTTGGGCGAATGGAGCGTCTGGGTGGATTCACTCTTAGAAGTTTTTCAGCTCAGAGTCACCACACCTGCTCGCTGGTGCACGCGCAGCACCTGCCCGGCAGTTCTGGCCGCAGCTGCTGCGCAGGCAGTTGATGGCCTACCTTTGTCAAGGGACGACCACTGAAGAGGGCTTGGTTTGGGGCTCCCAGCCGAAGGGAATGGGAACCGAAGGGAACCGATTCAGCCATTGTTTCGTTGGTATTGATTGGCCCCTTCTCGGAGCCATCTCTCGCCATCCGTCGAAGGGGGCACATCCAGCTTGGAAGCCACAAATTAAACTTGACCCCGAAAGAAGCACGGAACACTTACATAACCAGCAGTCACAAATGTGAGTCACGTTCGACAGGGTGCGGTCCATGGAGGGTGCCGGTTACGGGGTGCCCGAACGTCACATCCACAGCCGCCGGACGATGGGACGAGCCACTTCACCCCGTCGAACGTGACTCCGCTCGTTCGATCAGAGAAGGAACGGTCGAAAAACGTCCGGTCGGACGGTCGAACGCGGAGCTTCAAAGACGGTGTGACCAGGGATTTGCAGGTTCCCACTTCAAACGAACCCACCGTGACCTACCTGGAAGGTTGGCACCAGTGGTTTCAGAGGGTTCCACACGCACGGCACACCCCGTGCCATGTCTTAGACAGGGATCCTGAAAAACAAAAGCACCCAGGGCGGGAGGGGGGGCGGGCTGGGTTTTCAGGTGAAGGGTCATATGGCGGGGAGTGAAGAACACATCCCCAAGTGATGTGAAGAACACAGCCACTATGGATCTATGGCTGGTTGATCTATGGCAGGTTTTTAAAGTGGATGTGGTGGATGTGGTGGTGAAGAAATCGATCGAATTCGTCGCTCCGCAGACTCCGCTACTCGGCGCGCTCCGAGGCTCGCGCTTTTGCGGTGCTCTCCCCCAGCACGGTGGTAGGCGAGGAGAGCCGATCACATTGATCCATGTTAATTCACTGTGAGGGACGTGCAAAGTGGTTGAACCATCGAGAATAACATAGATAAATAAAGGCAGAACAATGATAATGAAAGAACAGTACTGCACAAAGGAGAAAAGCTGGGGCTTTGGGGGAATATTCGGAATAGAGCTGTCTTTCGTTTGGGTCTTTCCTTCCAGAGGGACTTTACAGTGGCCCCGCGGGCACAGTGCCTGGCATGGCTTCCTGGATGTAAGCCGAACTTGCCTTTAGGGGGCCCCACGGATGTTCATGACAAATTGATTCTCCCTCCGTGAAGAGTGCCCGTTCTCCGAGCATGACCTGCTCCCATCGTCTTGCACTCGGCAAGAATGTGGGTGCCTCCTGGGCTGTGGTGACCCGATCGTACAGGATACCTTGGTCACACGACTGGTGCAACAAGATCCGGCGCTGGTGCAACTCTCCCAAACACCCCTTGGTTCTTGGGTCACGACCCATCCCCTTTTTTGCCCATTTTCCACGAGTCCCACCTCGGTGCTGCTCGTCCCTTTGTCACCGTGGAGGTGATGGCCCTTGTCTCTGTGACTCCTGGTAATTGAGATTTGCATGCGTTTTGGATTCTAAAACAGGGAGACCTCCTAACCAATCTGATTTAGTCTGATTTGGAATCTTTTTGAGATTCCCAGAGGTCGAACTCAGGGGCGGGTCTCCTTCTTCCAAGCCACATCAACCCTCCAAGCGCCGCGCGGTTGCAGCTTCCAACACCTTGCCGCTGGAAACGGCCCACCGCACCATCTTCTCGCAGGGAAGCTCGAGGTAGTTCACTCTGCGGGAGTTTAGACCCTAGTAGCTTCTAGCTGCTAGCTACCCCTGTCACTACCGTAGTAGCTTCTAGCTACTAGTAATGGCCTCCAACCGAATAGCGATGGCCTCCAAAGACCTTGATGGGTAAGCTCGCTACCGCACCCTACAGGTCCCAGTGCATTGACAGCGTAGGATTTTCTACGTGCGCCGTGGTCGGGTGTTTAAAGACAACGACCAAGACTTGTGTGACTTTTGCACATCCACCGCGGCTTTTGCGTTAGAAGAATCAACATAGTTGCATACATTGATATGTGTTGGTGGCTTTGATCTTTTTTCCGACATGTCGTATATCGCAGGTCATAGGGGTTCAAGTATCGATATTCCGCGCCCAAGCAGATTTCATGGAGCCAGTCAGTATGTACGTCCAGCACTTGCCAAATGACATGGATCTCTTTGACCACCCCTGGCCGATGGCGGAACAGAAAGGTGAATTCATCTTGGTGGCAGAAGAACCAGCAGAACCAACCACGTTCGCTCTTGCGGACTGAAGCTCCAAAGCCCCCCATTCACCGTGACGTTAGCTAGTGGACCTTCACTGGCGATGCAGTTTGGCGACCGCGACCGCAAGTTTGCATGCAGCGTGGCCAAAAGAGCTGCCATCAAGTTCAGTCAGACTGATGTAGAGATGAATGCACGAGGGTCCGAACCACCTCTGATGGACCTTGCGGGTGTTCACAGGGAACCTTTCGGTTTGGAGCAGGGGCACGGATCACCGCTAAAACTCTACTCTATAGGTTTGCGGATAGGCCCCCAACCTCATGTAACGTGGACCTTGAATCCAATCTTTTTGGCCTCCACCCAGTCGCATTGGGCCCTAGCATTGGCTCACAATGACCTTTTGCATCAACGGCAAGACGGCGAGAGCTTCACCTTGATGTTTATGGCCAAAGAGCCAGAGAAAGATGCGGCCGCGGAAGAGCTTTTTTGGAGACATCTCTTCGAGTGACTGTGAAGCATGGTGTCTCGAGGCTGGATGTGAGCTCCGTCTGCTGCCAGGCATGGGTGGTAAAGTGAAGGTACTACTGCAGAAGCGACAAACGGGTTCCGCTGGCCCCCGGCTGCCTGTCGTGTAGATTTCGTGGCACAGTACTTGGTGAACCTGGAGTGCAGATTTCGTGGCAGGCGCAGTACACAGAGCCTTCAGGAGGACCGGGTCTTACACCACTCATCTCACACCACGTTATTTTTACACCACTCACCTGACACAACTCAACACCACTCATCACACACCGCCTCTCACAACTCATCACACACCACTCATCTCACACCACGTTCATTTTACACCACTCATCTACACCGCTCATGTCACACCACTCATCACACACCACTCATCTCACGTCACGTTCATTTTACACCACTCGTCTTACACAACTCAACACCGCTCATCACACACCGCCTCTCACCACTCATCTCACACCACTCATTTCACACCACTCATCACACACCGCTCACCACACACCACTCATCTCATTCACTTTTATCGTTCAGTATCTTTCCGTCCTCTTTCCTTATCAGTCTCTACTTCTCGTTGATAGTCCCTACAAGCTTAACATGCGGGTTATCCGGTCCTTTTAGTTTTGCGCGAAAGATATGGCTAAAGATGTTCTTTCTGCTGCTGCTGCTGCTACTGCTGCTGCTACTACAACTACAACTACTGCTGCTGCTACTACTACTCCTGCTGCTGCTTTGGGGGCGCGGTTCTGCCACAAAACTTTACCCCGCAAAAGGCGAAAGTTTGGCGAAAGTTCAGCTCAAGATTGGCGAAAGTTCGCCCTGCCACATCTGACTCCTAGCCCATTATGAGTAAGTCTGAGCGACCGGCTGCCACAGTGATTCTTGCAATTTTTGGTTCTTGCAGGCACCCAGGAGAAACAAAAGAAACGTACAGGGTGTCAACTGTTAAGTAGAAGGCTGGGCGGGCGTAGACGGCCGGGGCATTTTGAGCACTTTTTTGCGAAATCCGTGTGGTATTTACAGCACTTTTGTGTGTCCGCGGGGCCACTGGGGAGAGCATTGAGTTGGCAAGGAGCGTTTTCCTGTGGTATTGTGCATGTTTTTGGTATCGGCGCCTGTAAGGGGCCGTGCGCTTCAGGCGTTTTTTAATTTCACATGCGTTCACATGCGTGCTTTCACATGCGTTCATGGGGGGGCTGTGGTGGGGGGGGGTGGGGCGGTAATGACGTATGTGTATGTGACAGGCTTGTTGACGTGGCGCTGTTACTTTTTTTACCTTCACATGTGTGCATGGGGTGACAGTTTGTGTGTATGTGGCACGCATAAGTATGTTGCAGTTTTGGTTCGAGTGTCTGATGGCGACCGGGTCGTGTTTGCTCTGGTGTTGGTGTTGCTCATTCGTTTGTCGGGTTCTTTTTTTCGTTTAAGAATCACGTAGTGTTGGGTCCTTTTCTTCGGTGGACCTTTGGTATTTGGATTCTTTAGTAGAGGTCTTGACTTCCCCCGTTGATTCCCTTGGGGGGGTTGTGCAGGAAACAGTTTTATTACAAGATCGTTGGCCTCTTCGTTTTACAGACTTACCCTCCTGTATTCCGTTTTTGTGGTCGGTTTGGTCGTCAATCTGTTCACGGTGTTTGCGCGAGCGATCGTCTTCTCTTCCCGTGTTATCGGCCGCTGCCTTCGTTCTGTCGCGTCGTTGTCTACGCGGACTTCGCTGGCAAGCCATGGAACCAGTATCTACAGTGTTCTCGCAGGGCCGACGTCGGAGATTCTTTGCTCATTTGATTTGATTTGTAACGTTTTTGGCATGCATGCTTTGTTGCACTCATATATGTGCCACAAAAAGATTGCTTGAAGGGGTCTTTTCTACGTGGAAACGGATGTGAAGCCAAAGGACTTGCCGAAGGCGTATCCTGTGCATGTCATGGTTTTGGGCGCTGTGGAAAGAGCACGTGCCCCCATCGTGTGGGGCCCTGATTGCAGGGTGACGAAACCAGGTGCAAGGCCTCCTACAAAGTCCAAAAAGCAAGTACAAAGCAGCGGGCTTCTGAATAAAGTCGATCGACGCAAAGGCAAAAGCTGCTGTCACTTCGATGGCAATCGAGCTTGGTCAGCAGAAAGCAAGCGTCTTGGTCTTCAACATCGGCAAGTGTGTCACCAAAATATGGAGTTTGCAAAACCTGTGGATCGCACATCTCCAGGATTACCGAACCTTGGAGGAACTCAATGCATGGATCAATGGTGGCTTGCGCTCAAGCAATATATCCCCTCCAGCCTCAACAGAAAAGTGAAGAAGGATGGAAGAAGTGTTTTGAATCCAAAAATCGAAGCACTGCTGTACCAATGGGTGTGGCGGGCGCGGGGCGCGGACAAACGGGCGCAAAGTAGCTTTTCCAAACCAAAATAACTGGACTTCATACTTGCGATATATCCACAAACCCTAGCCCCAATGGAATTTCAATAAAAATACGTTCTGCAACTCATGCAAATGCCCACAAAACACCACGGCCATCTACACACGCCGGACCAAGTAGAAGACACTTGCTGACAAACAGTGATTTTTTTTCGTATCTGCCTGTGCAGAAGAAGCCATTGACAAGAAACATGATATCCATCATACAATATAGATGGCAAACAAAAATACAACATACTGAAGGCGACAGCTTCGCTAAAATATTTTTTGCTAAGAATGACGGATCCCAGATAAAGGAGTTTAAATCAACACCCATATGTATCATCCGCACCTCAGTCTTTTGTGTAGACTAGACAGTACTGTTAGTTACACGTACGACTCACACTCATGTGAGGCACGTTCGAAGATCGTTCCAGGCGCTTGGTAGCGATGCCCTCGTTACTCTGAATTCAGAGCATAGCATATCTTGGTATAAGAATGGCAGTGGTTCCAGATGATACTGTGCAAGACAAGTATCGACAATGGCTTGGTTGTATACGTTTAAGTAATTCATCCGGAGTTCTCTCTTATTTAGTACCTTTTTTTGGAGATCCGAGTTCAAATCCCATTGGTTGAGAGAAAGCGACGGCTGCGGAGCTGTTTGGAAGATATCATATACCCCATTCCCCTTGAAACAGGGAGCTGTTGGCTACAGAAAGTTCCCGACCATTTTCTAGTCTTAGTGTTTCCAGAAAAAGATTGATATCTAATATACAGTATTTGGGAAGAACACCGAAACTGGAGACTAAGTTGCGAGCCCAGCGAACCCTGAATCTCCCCAGGAACCCCGCGAACCGGGGGACTCCCTGGCGGAGCACCCTTGGCAGAACCTCCCATCGGCACTGGAATAGTTACATATATGGGTCATTTTTTCATGCGGTGTTCATGTAAATCTACTAGGTTAGGAGATGGGACTTGCACACCCCCACATGGTGCAAAACGGCTGTGTACACATGAGATAGGCTTTGTGAATTTGCTATGTCTATTTCATACAGACTCTCCATGTCCGGTATACATGCCACACATTGACCCCAACTTCAACCACCCTTGTTTGTATGGATTTCATATGCCAGTCCCCACTGCAGATCCCCCTCTTCTGCCGGATCCTCCCAGGCTCGGCGCACGGCCCCTACCCGGCAGCAGCTCGGGCGACGGGCGGCCACCCTTCCCGGCGGTGCAGAAGTTCAGCGAGGTCGGTGGGTCCGGGGGGTCGGGTCGTGCGGCGGTGAGTCGTCGGCTAGTCGGCGACGTCCAACAGCTTCCCCGATCGGACTGGAAGAGTTGGACTGGACCGGACTTCACAGGTGTCGTGGTGACAAGTGGAGTGTGGTTCACCATGTGTGGTCGAGTGATGTTTGGAAACAGCTAGGGTGACAGCCTGTTGGAGGGTGCTGGTATGTAAATATTCTATGAGATCATAGAACGTCTGGGCTTGGGTACGGTGTGGGGTGCTGGAAACCAAGACGATGTTTGAGCCAAACTGTGAGCCAAACGTTCGATATTTTGGTACACTTGGGGGGGGTGGTATATTCTGGTATTCCTCGTTTGAGTCAGACGATCAACCGTGTAGACGCCGCAGACATGAGGAGTTGCAAAACCCATTGTCACTGAGTTTGGGTGCATTTTGTGTGCCATTTCAAACCCCACCCACGTGCAGGGTCCACTCATCAAACTGGGTGTATCATGATCCATTTCTCAAACCAAGGTGTGCAATCCCGGGCTCCTGGTCGTTTGGTGCTGCTTCATTTGGGTGAAGTGGAGATTCACATATACTATGACGAAGTGAATGTAGGCAGTGCTTAAGTCCCAAGACCATATACTATATATAGGCTTCGTCACCTTCGAACCATTTCTACAAGTTGCACAAGGTTATCCAATCCTTTCGAGTGAAGAATCAATGCATAAGAATTTGTTCACCACTGTTTGCGTGCCCAACTGGATCTTGCAGGGGGGATCTTTTTCTTCCTTCATCCTGCAGGGGAGTCTTTCACCCTCTTGGTCAATCAAAAAACATGGTGCTACCACCCAGCCAGCATGTTTGACATTATTTTGTTCATGGGAGAAGGTGTTATTTGTAAGATAAACTGAAGTCTCCGAAAGAAAGAAAGAAAGAAAGAAGAAAGAAAGAAAAACAGAAAAAAAGAAATAAAGATAGATAGATAAACTGAAGTGGGTCGGTGTTGCAGTTCGGTGAGCATTCGGTTTTTCTGTTGGTAATTGCTGTTTCTTTAATTGGAAAACCCTCTGATCTCCTAGATCATCTTGACACATCTCCAGGCCATTGTTTGAAAGGTGGTTTTGACGTTTTTGGGGGGACCCTAGGGCTCCAGTCGTACCTCCCCGGAAGGCATATGACTGGACCACTTGAAACCCACCCTTTAAAACAACATCTTCTCAGAAGGTACGACTGGAGCCCTAGTAATGTAGACTCTTGATGATCTTTCACCCCCATATGAAGAGGATTGTCCACTTCAAATGGTGGGGTTTATGTACCTCAAGAGTCTACATTAGGGGGAGATCCAGTTGGATTCACTCCACATCCACCGGATCACCTGGCATCATCGACACTCTTCTTGCACCTCGGAGCGATCGAGCGCACCCGGGGAGACCTCCAGACGTTGGTTCTTCACCTGAAGAGTAACTGGCCTCCACCGTGCGTAGCGAACCTTGCTCCTAGTAATGCCAGGAGCTACGTTCGTAGCATCCGCTAGCATATTACCAGTACCCTGCAAGTCAACGACTATACAAAGAATGGTCTTTATGGGATCTGAAAGGGAATGTCCTTTACTACTCAGGGAAAGTATAGTCTTTGGACTTCCAGGGAGTACCAAAAGTCCTTTCATCTTCAGTTCCTCCTCCACTTCGTCCATCATTACCAAAGAGGTCGGTCGTCGGTCAGTACTGTGGCTCGGCCTTCATCGCGTTCGCTCTTTCCGCGTGCCAACGGCCAGGAGCTGGACAGCAAGTACGACGGCAACACGAAGGCCACCGCGGCGGCCTGGGATGCCCAGAAGACGGTGATAGAGGGCGTGACGAAGATGGTGATGGCGATAGTGGAAGAACGAGACCTCGGTAGATCAAGAGTTGAAATGTTCATCCCAAAATTATATAAATGGAATTAAAGAGAAAAACAGGACTTATATACTTTGGATCATGTTTCGGGGGGTACACAAAAGGACAGGCGCGTGACATCGAGTGACATATGTCGAAGTACCCGCTGCTTCCGGGCTCATCCGGCTGGATATCTCCACACACTTACAGGTCGACAGACAGGGCACCCCGACCGCAAACCGCTAGGAAGACAGGATTTCACCGTCGGACGGCGCAGTTCATCCGTCGGACTTCGCCCCCCAAACAACGCTCACCACGGTCGCTCGGGTGCGGACGGCGCTATTACACGCCGGGCGGGCGCGGGGATGGCGGTGGGTCCGCTCGCCCAGGTGGGAAAGACCGAGGCCTTTGAGTTGATCAAAGCCTTAAGCCTCGGGCGAAGACATCGCCGCGCCGAGGTACGTCCTCGGGTGTCGAGGATGTGGGGGGGTCGAGGTGCTTTCGTGTCAATTCACTTCACCGCGGTTGGTGAAACGGAGGGGGGGAAACGCTCGTTTGGGGGAGGGGGTTTTTTTTTTTTTTTGGGGGGGGGGAGAACGGAACAACACTGTCGAGCATGTTGTGTGCGGTTGATGTTAGGTTTTGAAGGCCTGCAAGATCTAGCTGCTGAGACCATGTACTTGTTTGCTTCGACAGTTTGTCGGGAGACCTGGGCATTTTGTGAGACTTGTGAGATGTTGCTTCTTGTTTGCATATGAAACAATGTAATTCCAAGTACTCAGAACATTGAGATCTTCCAAATGGCTCTCACTGGTTTCTTCGATGCCTCCACTTTCTACTTCCTCGAGGTCGATGTGATGGTTTCCCATCGGCGTTGCGGTGACGTTTTCCTCAGGGAGAGGAAGGGTTTGGTCGCAGTGCACGTTTCCGAAATGTTTAGGTAGCACCATGTCACCCTGGTGTTGCGGCTCAGGTGATGTTTCTTTTCCGAACTGGTTAAATCCCCGCCTTCTGGTGAATATGTTCTATATTTTTCCAGGTTCCTCAGTAAATCCCAGACCATGTTGCTGTCATTGCTGTTCCTATGTTTTTCCTATATGTCGTGCTTTCTGCACTTGTCAAATGCATAGAAGGAGTGAGGGATGCAGTTCAGACTTTGTGTGTTTTTTGTTTCCAACAGGTCCAACCATGATCATTCCCTCGAATCCCGGTGACCATCATACCCAGCAGCTATAGCATTGACTCACAACATGTCAGAGCAGTGTGGTTTACTGTGGAGCGAAGTTGGTCAGAATCTCGATGCACGAGATGTGACAGCAAGTAATTAGGTAGGCTTATATGGGTTTAGAGTGTTTGTTGGTGGTGAGACATGTTTGGGCCTTTGCAAGTGTGGAGCGACTGAGTGACTTGTCGGTAAACCTATTGAACTTCCAGGAATGATTTGGTTGGCAAGAAGCACACCCCCGAGGCAGCAACACTACCCACTCAGGCTTCCTTCAAATGGCGGCCCAGTCGACGTTTGTTGGCTCAGAATTCACTGCCTCGACCTGCGTCGCGGCCGCGCATCTCTCTCTCCGATTCGTCATGGCCATGTGGACTGAGCGAATCTTGTCGGGGTGCTCAGACCTTCGTCGAAAGGTGAGGAAAAGGAACGTCTAGAAAAGAACATGGAAGAAGGCACAGCGTTCCCCATGAACCATGCATGATAAGCCCATGCAGGTGATCCAACAGATGGTTTTTGTGGAGATGGAGTGGGCTGGGGACGTCCGCTCCAACACAGGGCTTTGATCCTGTGAAGCGGTTCCGGCAAACTCTCAGTGTCTGCTCCGGAGTATGGGGTCGACCGTCAGACGCTGTGCATGTGCTCGGACGTGGTCAGACATCACATTGACCCAAAAGAGGTGGTGCGCTTGCTTTTCCTATAGAGACTAATGGAAGCCACACTGGAGTTTCTGAAAGTGGGTATTGGCAGACTCCTGATTCAGTAACTACTTTAACACACTTCAACATACTTCAACCTCATAATTCTTGTTCAAACATCCAGAACCAAGCCGAGTTTGGTACAGCCATTCGCAGAAGCTTCAACCTGGCTTAATTCTCCCCATGTCCAGGCGAAGTGGCCGACGCTTGTTGGGCCTCTGGGACGCACTGATGACATGCGGCGCACTTGTTGAGCCTGGCTGAGTTGAAGATCCAGGCTGAGCAAAACCGGGAAAAGGATTCGACTCATGGTTCATGTGTCACTAAAGATATCACAAGCGTTCGCCTCCAAAGAATAGTGACTTCATGTGACATCTCTCCAAGAGGTTCGCCAAAAGACCAAGCGGCGCGGCCCTAGAGCCAGATGACAGAGGAGGTCAGAAAGTCTGCTTCCAAAGTCTCTCCCAAGCACCACAGAAGACAGGAAAAGCTCTTCCTGGACAGAAAGAGTCCTGGTTGTTCCATAGGCTAGCCCTAGACCCCCCCTATCCTAGAGCCTACACTAGCCCTAGGACCCCCCCTATCCTGAGAGGTGAATTGAGATCCTTTACACCGGATTTCTGGCTGGGACCGGGTTTCCGGACCTGAAGGCTTGCCGCGACAGTCATAGAGGGACCCCTATGAGCTCAGGGAAGGAGAAGAGAGCTCAGAGCCTATAGGCATCCATGCTCCACTTTGCATTGAGGATAGTGTGAGGGATTTTGAGGCTCTGAGTGTGTCGAATCGAGACACTTGCCATTGAAGGCGACGAGTTCAGTGTGAAGATGTGTTGGGCATTGGATCACCTTGGATCGCTGGCATCGTTTTTCAGTCTTTGGGTGATTTTGGAGGTCTTACACCTCGGTGTCAGAGCGATGTCACACCACGGGCCTGCCCCGTCCACCTCGCGCCGAGGCGAACCCAGCAACGCACCGGCCCGAACGGTGGCTTCGCCTGAACCACGCCGAGCGGCCAAGCGCCGGCCGGGCACCAGCGTGGCCAAGGAGGGAGAGTGGGGAATGGTGATTTGGTCGAGCGCTGATGGGGTCACGCATTCCTGGCCGCATGCCATGGCCAATGTGAGATGTTATGGCATGGGCGTGGCCGTTGGATTGAAGAAGATCTTCTGAAACCCATTTGATGGATTCGTGTGGGGTCTCTTTGGAGCAGCCACAGCCAGGTGGGGATGGGATGGAATCGATTCGGCGATCCCTCCACTGCAGGGCGGCACAAATTTGCCACATGACACATGAGAAGAACCGTGTCGTTGTAGCAGTTGCCAACCTTTCGAAGAGGATCAATCACGGGAGTCATGATCCACTTATAGTGTACTTTATAGTGTCTTTCCTCCTTGCGATGTCACCAAACCACAACTTGCTTGGTCCCCCAAGGCAGGAACACGATACACGATGATACACGACCAAAGATGAGGGCATCGAACAACATCGCATCGACGGCATCGACCCCAACAACGTACGGGATGAGCGCCAAGGGATGCTCCGGATGATGCCTGGCTCTTCAATCCAACTGCGACGCTCATGGACCCTCATATGGAGGGGTCTGGGGTCTCAAATCCCTAGGTTTTGAGGGACCAAGGGCTGTTTGGAGCGTCCGGGTGGGTGGTTTCATCAATCAAGCATCTGGAAGTAATGAAGCTGCACCAACAAGCATACAGTCAGTGTGACTCACGACCCAGCCTGAACAGTGGGAGATCAACCAGCTGGGAGTGTGGCGTACAGTTCTTCCTGCAGCGGCAACTGCACTCATTTTTTTCGGAGGTCTTCACCAGCGTGAAGGGACCCAAATGATACCGGAAGAGAAGAAACTGGCACCAGTGGCTTCAGAGTAGATGGCACTGTCACCCCAACCGCAGATGGGGGTCCACATGGGGATGGGTCAAAACCTAGAGCCCATGTAGCCAACGACGTTCCAGATAGGTCAACGAAGGTCTCCTGGTTTTGCTCGACAGCCATATACCCTCGAAGTCCAAAGACCATGTTTGGAAACACCGAAGTAAAGGAACTTCCTGAACTCGGATAGTAAATGGTCGGCTGGACTGTCTGAGGGTACCCAAACATTCCATGGGACTGGCAGCCTGAACCATTGGGGTGCTTGAAGTCTTTCGGGGTGCCAGTCCGACTGGAGCAGTCCTGCCAGTCCGAGTCCTATGGGTCGTGTGTTGGGGTTTGTTTCAACCGACGGTGCCATCGATCTCTCACTCCACGGTCCGTTCCGTTGTTCACTCACCGGTCCAGGTCACGCACGCACGACGCGACGGCGCGGTTCACGGAAGACGACGCCCCCGAGTTCGTTCGGTCGAAGGGAACGATCCAACTGGAGATTGGGTGGCTGACCGGTGGGATTTTGCAACCTGTAACAGCCAGCCTGACCAGCAAATCACTTGAACAAGGGACTTTAGGAACCATCATCCACTGGTGCTGGTAATAGGATAGACCCAACATAGACCCAAGATAGACCTGGTGACTTCGGTTTGATCGTGGAGAGGAGGTGGTTTCTGGAAGTTGATTGGCCACGCTCCGTGGCTACTGAGCGGTGGCTACTGGGGTGCAAAACGAGAGAGACTCAGGAGGCTCCGACAGGCTGCGGGAAAGCCCGTATGTCCTTCCAAGGGGATGTAAGGCCGCCGTGGAGCGAGCTCTCAACAGTGGATATCGAGAAATACCACAACGCCCGAAAGGCCGAAAAAGAACAGAAAAAAAACACATGGAAAGACACAGAAAAAGGTTCAGCTTCGACCTCCGACACTCCACCGACACGAACGACGTCGATCCTCCGCAGGAGAGCTGCGCACGCAAGTCAAGTCGACGTGGGGGAGTCCCGGTGCGTTTGGGGTAGCTCCAATTGGAAGACGCTCATCGCCATGCACGGGGGTTGGTCCTTTTTTCCCCCACCTGCTAGGTGAGGGTGTTCGATTTGATCTCAGCTGTCAACTCCATCCTTCCTTCCTTCCTTCCTTCCTTCCTTCCTTCTTTGCTTGCTTCCTTCCTTCCTTCCTTCCTTCCTCCAGTGGTGGAGATCACTCCTGGAAGAGGGAAAGGATCTATCTCGATCCAAGTGCATCATGCACCTGGATGTGATAAATTGACCTGCAACCCAAACAACCACTTGCTATGTAAAGGATCTCGAGCTGGCACCATAATTGGAACATTGTTCCAACTCGTTTTTCCACCCGGCTCTTCTGGGTTTTTCCACGTCGTCCGACACCAAAACCACAACTGGAGAGAGATCACGACATGTATTTATTTTTTTATGGTTGACCCGAATAGTGTAGTGTAAAACCCTAGTAAAACGGGTAAAGCCTGTCAAATTATAAAATTTACCTATTGGTGGTACTATTGGTGGTTGGAATCCGTTATGTGCTTTGGACACACATGGAGATCAACCTTTGGCTTGTCGCATTGGCACCAAACAGAACATGTTTTTTAAAGCTCACATCGGCTCGAAACCATCCAAGAATACTGACCAAGAATCGGCTGTG